CCCTTCTTCCAATTTCACCAAGGTACATCCCTGATATCATCTTCTCATATAACTTCATCCACATACAAAAGTGAACAACTGTAAAACTTGGTAATACCATATAGTAACAAAAAAATATAAATAAAAACGTAATGTTGTTAGAGAAAGGATCAAGTTATACATGTTCACCACGATTGACGCTTGCCTCATCCATCTCTTGATCAAAAATGGTTCGTGGAAGAATCTTAGAGAACCCTCCCCACTCCGTATTTATGGTCTGATTCCAATCAAAACAGTTTAGCATGGAAACAACAACAAACCTAAGACTATGCAAATATAAATTACCGTTGTTCCAGAAGAAGATATGCTTTGGAGTTTAGGAATTGCATTCTTCTGATCTACATAACAAGCGTTGGTCCCGGTGCCAAGAATCACACCCATCATTACATCCTTGTCCCAATATCTTGCTCCAGCTAATGTTCCCACTGCATCATTCACCTTAAAGATACAAACATTAACAAAATAAAATAATAATATGCACAAGACAAGAGTTTACATCTATTATTTTTGAGAAAAAGGGACATACGAGAGCAGAAACTCGCATATCGAGTCCATGTGCTTCCATGGCTTCATTTAAACAAGCAACCACGTTTTTCCCTTCCTGCAACAACATTTTAATAGGCAATTAGAATTTAGAACCACATAAGAACTTGGGGCAAAAGAATAACTCACCATTCCAGACACAGCGAAGCCTTTGGTCCACTGGATCACTGTCCCTGAATCAATGGAGGTTTGTTTCACAGGAAATGAGAAGGTAAATCCTATCTCCCTTTTCCTCCCTTTTTCCAACCGAAACCGCTCCGGAATATTCTCATTTTCAACAAAGCTTGCAAGCTTTGAAGCAATGAACCGGAACAGTTCCTGAAACATTCGATCGAATTAACACTCATTGAGGTACTAATTAAAGATTTAAAGTTTTATGTCGAGTCATTACCTCACTTGTACCAGTCTTAAACTCCTGAGGAATCGATATCTGTTCAGATTTGGTCGCTATGACACGCTCTTTCATTCCTCCCAATTGCACGCTATGCACCCGAAAATTTGTACCACCTAAATCCAATGCATAGAACAACCCTTCCTCCTTCCTATATCCGTTAATGAGATTAATCAATTTTTTCTACTAAGGTCTCGTTCCACAGTAAAGCTCAAACTTTTATAATCTTTAGATCACAGAGCATAATGTAAACAGAGTTCAATGGAGAAAAGAAAGGAACTAATCAACTTTTTCTTGCTGAAGCTCAAATTTTCATCAACTTTAGATCACAAAGATAATGTAAAAAAAATACCCAGAAGGCAAAGCGTCGACATAAGTCAAGATCATCTTGAGATCTCCTCCTCCTCCTCCGACAGCTAGACCGGCTCGCATGTCATCGGCAATGGCGTCGGCTACTTTGCGTAGGAACCGTGTAGGAGTGTCGCATTCCTTTTGAAACGTGGTCAGTACAGAACAAGAGGAAGCCGAATTAGATCGGAGGGCGGACATCACGGAGCTATTGGAGCGTCGAGATGAGAAGGTGAAGGATCCAAGGGTTGGGGTAAAAGCAGGGGAAGGACACTGTTCACCGAGTTTGGTTCTGATTTGTAAGGGAAGAACATCTCAAAGTCAACTCTGTCAACTACACTTTATGAAGCATTTTTAATTGCAACTGTGCTTATTTCAATTTCTCTGTGTGCTCTCTTGGGTTTTAGCCTAGGTTTTGAAAAACCATTTCG